TACATACCAAAAAAAGTTATATGGGTGCTTTCTTGTCATTAATTTAGGACGGAATTCTAGTGATTTATGCAAATTTCACTATGCATATTCATAATTCTTTGGCCCTTGGTTGACACTTAGATACTTGGCTTCATCCTCCTGGGAAGAGTTTGAAACACAGACCAAGCTTTTGCTTCTGAAATAACTGTTGACAATTGGGTCTACTGCGAACTCCAAATGCTAAACCGGCCATTAGATCAAGTACTTGTGCTTTTATCTAAGAAACGAGCACGTAATGTTTCATTGCTATATGGAAAGTTAAAATTTTTATTAAGGGGTAGCTTTATCTTGAAATTTGCCTCAACAACTGCATATTTAATTGTTGAACATGCATGCTGTCCCTTCCTCATCATTTGCATGGACATCTCCCATTCACTGGCATTACGATATCATTTTTAATTTAAGATTTCATTATTTGTTCTACAAATAGGGTTTTGATTTTAAATTATAATCATGTTTTAGTACGAAGTTCTATATTTTCCCTTTTTGTCCAAATACGATTGAAAATAGGAAAGAGTATATTTTTCCAAATCAAGATTCTCGTGTTTCAAGGATTACTTGCACAAAATAGAGGAATGGTTGCCTGTTGAGAAAAATGTAGGAAAATCTGAAAACTTAATGAACTCCAAGGCACGAAAAATTTTATCTTTTAAGAGATGTTTCTCCTCTATCCAACGAAGTCACGACTGGGGTATGACAGAAAATCTCTCTCAGGATACAATGGAGGTGTTTGATTCAAATTGTGACTATTTGATCAAACCAAGAAGACACTCGAAAAAGAACTGATGATGCCAAGAGAAAGAGAGAAGAATATTTTTTAATGTATATTGCAAACGAGAATTCACTCAGAATTTATAGAAATTGAGGCAACCATTTGAATAGATGTGTCCCTTGAAATGAAGAACACATCTGTTGGAAGTAACTGTCAAAATGAACAGATGCACCTATTCAAAGACTTTTGAAAATAATCCCCGTGGCGCAGCGGCAAACACTAGTAGGGGCGGCAAATCATTCGCAAAACAAAAAAAATACATGCAAAATGATGAAAAATATCTAACATATCCCCCTTATTTTTCAAAATTTTGATTTAGAAAAGATGAAGCGGCTGCATCACAAAAATTGATTGCCTACGTACCCTTAATGGGATCAAGCCACCGTAGTTCATGCAAACACACACAAAAGGCATCATCGTAGGAAATCGTACATAAATGAAAGTAGCTTTTGACTTTGAACTTTCACTTAGTGTAAACAACTCAAAGTTTTGTCAAGGTGCTATGGTGAACGAATTTTGAACCAAAGACCCTATCATGACTAGCCGGGGTCATTACACATACTATTCCGATAAAAAGGAGTGTCTCTTTTATACCAACGCATTTATGGCCTTGCGTATATCCCGAATTTTATGAGTGCTTTAGAGACGGTCTAAATCTCATAGAAAACGGCCTGACTTTCTCACTCAGATAGGTAAGTTCTTTATAAAGTAATTCTGCAAGTTACTTTCTCTCTCAATAGAACTTATTAAGGAATTAAATCCATCCTCAACCATGCAGAATACATACACTAGAGATTTTATGAATGGGTTTGAACTAATACTCTAGTGTCTCGTCTAAGTTGGACTTTAACTTGTTTGTGCCCTTTGAACTTTGTTTATATTTCAAAACATAAGTAGGGTTCCCATTAAAGCTAACTGAAATTACGTAGACCTCAATCCCATTCCTTTCGATGTTTTCGCAATCATCTCTCTAGCCAATCCTTTTGTCAAAGGATCTGCTAGGTTATTCTTCGACTCTACATATTCAACGGTGATTATTCCTTGCTTAAGTAATCCTCGAAGAGACTGATGTCTAAGATTGAGATGTCGTTGCTTACCATTGTAAATCTTGTTTGCTACCGAATACAAAGTAGCTTTATTATCACAATAGATCATCACAGCTGGAGATGGTTTCTCCCACAATAGGATATCTATTAGCAAATTTCTTAGCCATTCAGCTTCTTTACTTGCATCAGCCAAAGCAATAAATTCTGCCAACATAGTTGAATCTGACACGCATGTTTGTTTCTTAGAACACCAAGAAACAGTTGCACCTCCTAAAGTAAAAATCCAACCTGTTGTGGATTTAGAATTCGATTCTATGTTGTTCCAACTTGCATCGTTGTATCCTTCAAGTACAATGGGAAATCCACAATAATGTAATCCATAATCAATAGTTCCTTTCAAGTATCTTAGGATTCTTGAAACCACATTCCAATGTTCTTTTCCTGGATTACTAGTGAATCGACACAATATGCCAACTGCATATGCAACATCTGGTCTTGTGCAATGCATAGCATACATAAGACTTCCAATCACACTTGCATATTGAAGTTGGTCATAAGATCTACCAGTATTTTTCATTAACTTAATACTAGGATCTATCGGAGTTGATGGGGGGTTTATGACCCATATGACCATATCTTTTAAGGATGTTTTCAATATAATGAGATTAATTTAGCGATATGCATCCATCTTTTCTTATTATTTTAATCCCTAAGATCACATTTGCTTCGCCTAAATCCTTCATATCGAAGTTAGACTCTAGCAATTGTTTGGTCTCCTTAACACTTTCCAAGTTAGGACCAAAAACAAGCATGTCATCTACATACAAGCAAATAAGAGTACATGCACCATTTCTACATGTAGAATAGATTCATTTATCTGCTTCATTAACCTTGAAACCGTTAGACAACATTATTTTATTAAACTTTTCATGCCATTGCATAGGGGCTTGTTTTAAACCATAAAGAGACTTAACTAGTTTACAAACCTTCTTTTCTTGTCCAGGTAAAACAAAACCCCCAGGTTGCTCCATATATACTTCTTCCTCCAAATCACCATTTAGAAAAGCCATTTTTACATCCATTTGATGGACAACTAAATTGTGAGTTCAAGCAAGAGATAGCAACACGCGGATGGAAGATATCCTTGCTACTACGGGAGCATAAGTATCAAAATAATCTATGCCATGACGTTGTTTTAAAACCTTTAGCTACTAATCAAGCTTTATACTTATTTATAGAGCAGTTTAGAACCACGAGGTAAATCAACCAATTTTCATGTTTGATTTGACATAATGGATCTCATTTCATCATAGATTGCTTCTTTCCAAAGTACAGCATCTCGAGAGGAAATAGCTTCTGTCAATGACAGGATCACAATCATCATTAAGCATTAACTTAGTCTGATGTGTAATATTATTTACATCACCTTCTAGCAAATAAGTCACAAATTCAGATCCGAAAGATTTTTCTTTCCTCAGTCTCTTACTCCTTCTAGGTTCTATTTCCGATTGTGGTTCAACAGAAGTATCATCAAGAGATTCTTCATGAACTCTCTTAGAAGAACTAGAAGTAGTATTATCTTCAGTTTGCATAGTTGAAGACTTGTATATATTTTCAAAAAATTCAGCATCAATTGATTCGATAACATCGTTGGATTCTAACTTCAGAAACCTATAAGCAGTACTGTTTTTTGCATAACCTATGAATACACATTTATAAGTTTTACTTCCTAATTTAGTAATCTCTGGATTTGGTTTTCTCACATATGCGAGACATCCCCACACCTTAAGATGGCTAATATTAGGTTTTCGATTGAACCACAACTCATATGGAGTTTTGTTAATCTTCTTCATAGGAATCCTATTTACAGTATACCATGCACTTAAGATTGCTTCACCTCACCATTGATCAGGTAAACCAGAACTAATAAGCATGCAATTCACCATTTCAACTAAAGTCCTGTTTTTCCTTTCTGCTACTCCATTTGATTCTGGCGAATATGGTGGAGTAAACTCGTGAACTATACCATTAGTGTCATAGAATTTTGCTAATTCTGTTACTTGGTATTCACCTCCTCTATCAAAACGTAGGACTTTAATTTTTTGGTTTAATTGATTTTCCACTACTACTTTATAAATAAGAAATTTGCTTAAAACTTCATTTTTACTTTTTAGTAAATATACATAAGCATATTTTGAAAAATCATCTATAAAGGTCACAAAATACTTGTTCCCTCCACGTGAAACTTTACTATGCAGATCAGCCACATCAGAATGTATAAGACCAAGTAATTCAGATGTTCGCATAACAGATTTATGTGGTTTACACGTTATTTTACCTTGAACACATATATCACATTTGTTAACATCATCAAACTTTCATTTAGGAATAATTCCTAAATTATGCATGTTCTTAATGGATTTATAATTTATGTGGCCTAATCTAGCATGCCACAAAGGTAAAGAAACAACAGTATAAGCAAAGTTATCATTTATTAGATTCATTTTGAACATACCATTACATGAGTAACCTTTTCTGACAAATACATTATTCTTAGATACTATAAGGCCATCAGACTCAATTACAAGTTTAAAACCTGCCTTGTTAAGGCGATCCCCAAGAATCAAGTTCTTGGTCATTTCAGGCACATGGAGAACTTCTACCAAAGTCAGATTCTTTCCCGAAGTGAATTTCAATTCAACCAATCCAATTCCAACAACTTTGGTACGAACATTGTTACCCATTTTTACTTCTCTTCCATCGGTGCATTCTTTGTAAGTCTTGAACTGAGATCTGTCATTACTTACATGAATTGTAGCTCCGGTATCCAGCCACTATCCTACTTCAACTCCAGCTGAGTTGGCTTCTTCCACCACAACAACAAGGTTTGGATCATGATTTCCATCAGTCACATTTACTTGATCCTTCTTTGTCTTCTCGTTCTTTGCCTTCTCGTCTTTTATTCGATGTCGGCATTCACGAACAATATGACCAGATTTCTTGTAATAGAAACAATCCCCCTTGAATTTTTTCTTAGAGGTTTCTGCATAATCTTCCTTAGAACTAGAGTTTTTACGCTTCTTGTTACCCTTATGATTTCCTTGAACCATGTTTGCCTTTTCTGCCGCTTGATCATTATTCTCTCATTTACGAGAGTCTTCCTCAATACGCAAATGACGCATGAGGGATTCCAAGGTATGCTTGGTTTCATCATGTTTGAGTTTCTTTTTATAGTCATTCCATGAACTTGGTAATTTTGCAATAATGGCTCCAACTTGAAATGCTTCAGGCAAGACAATTTCAGCATTCTTAAGATTACTAACAATCAGTTGTAATTCACGTACCTGGGCAAGAACAGACTTACTGTCCGTCATCTTGAAATCAAAGTAATTACCGATCAAGAATTTCTGGTTGTTTGCCTCTTCAATACGATACTTGTTGTCCAATGCCAGCCACAATTCTTTTGCTATTCCGATAGTCGTGTGTGTGCTGTAAACAGAATCTGATAGTGCATTCAGAATATGACCTCTGCACAGAAAATCATCATCCTTCCGTTTCTTCCGCTGTTCCTGTAATTCCTTCTTGCGTTCATCTGAATCATCTGCTTTTTCTTCTGGAATAGGCGCAAGATCATAACTCAGAATGTAGGACAGTTTGATTGCCGTCAAGAAGAATAAAACCTTCTCCTGCCAACGCGAGAAGTTATGTCCATCGAACCGATCAAGACGAATCAAATCTTGATTCATGACTTGAATTGAAGGTGCCACAGATTCATTTACTGTCAAATCTTGAAACGAAGACATCTCTTAAAACTGTTGAGAAAAATGTAGGAAAATCTGAAAACTTAAAGAACTCTAAAGCACGAAAAACTTTATCTTTTAAGAGATATTTCTCCCCTATCCAACGAAGTCACGATTGGGGTATGATAGAAAATCTCTCCCAGGATACAATGGAGGCGTTTGATTCAAATTGTGACTATTTGATCAAACCAAGAAGACACTCGAAAAAGAACTGATGATGCCAAGAGAAAGAGAAAAGAATATTTTTTAATGTATATTGCAAACGAGAATTCGCCCAGAATTTATAGAAATTGAGGCAACCGTTTGAATGGGTGTGTCCCTTGAAATGAAGAACACATCTGTTGGAAGTGACTGTCAAAACGAATAGATGCACCTATTCAAAGACTTTTGAAAATAATCCACGTTGCGCAGCGGCAAACACTGGTCGGTGCGGCAAATCATTCGCAAAACAAAAAAAAAATACATGTAAAATGATGAAACATATCTAACATTGCCAACACTAAAAAAAACTTCACCCCACAGTTGATTTAGGAGGTTACAAAATAATAATGCTATTTGTATATAATGGAGATACATAATGACATGCATACGATGAGGTGTTGAAAAGAGAGTAGGGAAGTACTCTTTTTTTTATTTGGTCTAAGAAATTTTGACTCAAATCATATCTCACCGTTATCATGTGTACGTCCATTATGTAAATGTAGCACAACTAGTTACAAAAAGAATGTTTTCCTATAATTAGCAGGGCATACCGGCCACCAGTTTATATCTGAATTCTGAACCTAGAAATATAACAACAAACCAGAAAAGGAGAAAAAATGCTTCCAGGCAATTGCCGTCAAAACATTATTATCTAAGCAACCAACTCAAGAAGCAGCAGTACTTGTGGTCTTGCATCTGTACAAGACTCGCTTCTTCTTGAAAATTCCATTCTCAACTGTGATCACAATCTTGCCAGGTTCGCTGTTTCTAAAAGAATTGCGAATGGAATCATCTTGCCAACTTATCTTCCTTCCCTTCTTCACGATTATGGTGTATGACCCTTCATCTGTTGGAACAAACTCCTCTTTGTAATTCACGTCCCAACCTACTATAGTCAGGTCCCACATCAAGGCATTTCCAACCTGTTTCGACAAAAACTGGAGATATTTAAACTATGCACAAATGATGTGACGAAAGATGATCGGCATAGTTGCCACAAAGTTTATTAGGAATAAGATTTAGTCTGTTGTTTATAAGAAGAAAACTGAAAAGAACAGTAGGAAACAAATATAGTAGATGCTATATTGTAGTTGATTTACCTCCGGTGCAGGAATTTCAATGGTTTCAGTTACTCCAGCCTTAACAGAAATCTCAGAAGCAGCATCTTTGGTCGAAAAATCAGGATCATTCTCTTTTCTAAGCCCTCCATAGTGAACAGGAATTTGCTCTGCACCAATGTACCTGCAATCGAGTGTCATATATCAGTTGTAGAAGCCTCCACTAAAACAACTAACAAGAGGGAGAGCAAAAAGACTTAGCTTACTTGAGTAGCGTTTCAGTAACTCTGGCTGGACGACTAAAGACAAATTTGCTCTTGGTCCTTTGTGTTAGGAAAGGCGATAAGAGCGCATTAAAGGCATAATACCAGAAAGGTACGTTGATGAAGATCTACATAAAACATATGAAGCTATCAATAATAGTGACTAGAATATTAGAATTTCTTTCTGAACAGAGATTATATGAAGATGAAAGAAATGCTTACATTTCTTGCAACAAGTTCAGGATAATTATCCTGCAGAATCCCCACAGCTCGTTTTGTAGCAAGCCGAAGATCCTTCCTTGAAGGTCCCGGAGTGTTCTTGAGATCATTAATTTGGAGCAATGAGGAGACGCCACTGGGCTTGAAATCAAGCTTCTGAATCTGCTTCTCCATTAACTGAAACCTCCATCTCAAGAACCTCTCACGGGCGGCTTCTGTACCAATGGTCTTGTCGTATATTTCATCATTTGCAAATACCCCATAAACATTGTAGCAAACCATATGGCCTTCGCGATCCAGTCCCCTCGTGTAGGCCATGGTGTCATATTCATTCCCAAAATCTTCCTCCATGATTGAATCAATCTTATTTTCCTTCCTCCATTTAAGGGTGTTCTTCAACATCTCAAAGGCATCATTGACTTTAAACTCTCTGGCTGTCAAGAATTTCAAGAGCAAAATATCTGTGCCTTTATCTCCCTTGCTTGGCAATAATTGAATTCCCCACAGGGAAATATTGTGATTAATTTCAACCTCTTTTTCCACATTTTTAGCTTCACCGGATTTTTCTTCATCATCCTCTACTTTTGATTTCCCCTTATCAACAATATTTCCCCCCTCGACATCTTCTTCTCCCTTTTTTTTATCTTTCACAGAATCTTCATTTTCCTTATCCAGCTTCTCCTTCTGGACTGGTTTCTCTTCCTTCTTCCCCTTGAACAACTTGTTCGTCAAAATGGCCTCTTCAATCTTCGATCTGAGCTCTGTCAATGCCTTTTTCTCATACCCCTTCAGATCAGAAAATAACCCATTTTCTTCGCTTATCAAAGAAGATTCTCCACCTTTTCCATCAGGCGATGATGATGAACACTCACCTTTCTCCTTTTTCTTCCTCACTTCCTTTCCATTTCCATCAGACGCTGATGGTGAACTCTCAACAATTTCACTTCCATTCTTGTTCTCCTCCCCCTTCGGGGAGGCCACCTTCTCCAATTCTTTAATGGCACCAGCAACCTTGCCATCTTCTATCAACGCAACTCCCTTTTCTTCCACATTCTCAGATTGCTTCGGCTCGTCCACTTTTTGCAAATCTATAATTGCTTCAGCAACCGTACCATCTTCTATCAAAGAAATCCCCTTTTCTTCCACACTCTCAGATTGCTTCGGCTCGTCATCTTTCTCCAAATCTTTGATTGCTTCAGCAACCTTACCATCTTCTGTCACAGTTACCGCCTTTTCTTCTACATTCTCAGATTTCTTCGGTTCTTGAGAAGCCTCGACTCGGTCCTTTATAACACCGCTTTCCTTTCCCTCCACAGCCATGTCTCTGATTTCCTTAGCGACCAGGGGAAGTGCCACCTAGAGTACACTGGATTTCGGTCCTAAGTATTTCTCGGCGTCCGTTGAGAAAATCATAGACAATCACAAAAGAAAATTCGAGAGTGGAGAAAATCACTGTTGAATAAAATGCAGATTCATATCGACGAACAACAAATTAGGAAAAGGAAGAGCTTCAACCGATAATGGTGATCAGACTGAGGTCGTGTTAATATTAAATCATTCACAAATAAATATGATATTGGTGATGAAGACAACTTAAGCTTGCAGATATCAAGGTTACACGACAAAATTGGTGCCACACATCTCCCTGTTTCCCTCTCCTTACAGTAAATTGCTCCCATTTTTAATGCAATACCAAGCAAAATCCCACTGCCGCTTGTCCCGCTCTATTGCTCGAACACTTGAAACACGCCTTTGTTATAGTTGGGTTACTTGATTTTATCCACTTATGGACCAAAAAGATTGCTTTAAATTGGGTTAGACATGGCCTGTAGGCAAACATGGGGCTTTATTTAATTTTGTTAGAGAGAGGTTATTTGATTCAATGGACCGATCAAACTATAACAAGAGATTGCGTCTAGAGGAAATTACACCCACACATATCAGGTCATAATTCAGATTTTTAATCTCAATAATAATATTATTAAATTGAATCAATCAACTTAGGAGGATGTATTCAATTGAAACTTTTAAAGATTTTGATGGACTTTTTTTTAAGTGATGACTTTTGTGGATTTCGTAAATCTTTTTATAGATTTTTATGGAATTAGTGAAAGTCTTATATAGATTTCTATAAATTTTCATTTTAAAATATAGATTTTTATGGAAGTAGTGGAAGTCTTAAATAGATTTCTCTAAATTTTCATTTTAAAACTTTTATAGACTTTTATGGAATTCAAAATATTTTTGAAAACTTTCATTTGAAATAAAATACATGTAGATCTGGCGTGAAATTCTTACATATAGGATGTTAGTTCCCAGAGTTTCCATTCTTCTTCCTATATAATAAAAAAAATTTGAAAAAAAATAATTTAAGACCTTAATTAATTAATTATAATTTTTCATATAAACTTTTATAATTTAATTAAAAAAATAGAAATTTTTCACACAAAAAAAAAATGAATGAGAAAAGAAAAAATAGTTTCAGGAATTCAATTTAATTTTTCATAGAAAATATAGATAAATAATAAGAGAAAGAGAAAGAAATATAAATGTAATATAATCATTTAAAAAAATAAATTTTAATCATACATGTCCATAGACGGTAAAAGGAAAGAAATTTTGATTTTTTTTTTTTTTTTTTGAGAAAGTCTCCCAAATTCTCGTGATTAATGATAGACAAATTTTATAATTTTATATGAGTATTTTCTGTTTAAAAGTTAGTGTTGACCTCGCAAATTGGACTCTCCACATGGTCAACCGATAGCTACTCCACGTATTCTTCCTTGCGCACAGTCAACGCACGATCAGATGCACACGACCAGAACAAACGGGGGTGGTGGCGACCGCATACACTCCGACGGTCAAGTTAGTATCAAGTGGTTGGAACAATACCAAGGTTGTGCTAAATAAAGGGGAAGAGAATATATATTTGCTTGTTATGGAAAGCTATCTTGTAAGAGTTTCATTACCTCTACCTCTTGTCATACCTTGAGTATTTATAGATGAGAACCGTTGGATGTGGGACACGTGTACGCATCTGACGGTGTGAAACGTCTGCTCATAGGCGTTAATCGACCACGTCTGTAGAGTGGACGGGTAATTACTTCTCTCGAGTTGAGTTGACATAAAGTTGATACGTCACATCAACTAGGCTCATGGAGGCGTCAAATCAATTGAATATTGGGAGGCAGAAAGGATCTTGACATAGATCTCTTTTTGAAATTGGCGACGGATTCTCTAGCAGAGAACTTCGGTCAGTTCATTAGATTGTCTGTGTCTTGCAGTGTTAGCAGATGATGGCTACACTTTAGAACCACTTCAGATGGGTGTTGCACACCTCGTACGACGCGGTGGTAGACTTTCCGAAGTGTTTCAGATACGGGCGTAACAGTGGTCCCCCAAGTTCAGGTATGAATATTTATATCATGGGTGGACTTATTTTCCCAATCGGGTATGTCCGCCTTGGGATGGGGACCGCGATTTGTGAGGGCTTATGGGTCGATTTTCTATGTTCATCGAAGCGTTGGCCACAGACAGACGCGCTAAAGATTCATTATTGTGTAAGTGAAGAACTTATCCGAGGTCGATGTGCTGCCAATTGGACGATGCGTTAGGAGATGGATAAAGCTTCGTAACGCAACTTCCGAGACGATGACCCACATGAGGGCTCCGCATCAGATGCGGCTAAGCTTTGTAAAGCTGTGTGAAGAACTTATCTGCCACCGGTGCGTTGACCCACAGGGGACGACGCGTTGGGAGATGGCTAAAGTTTTGTAAAGCTTAGGAGGGAACACAGTTATCGAAGCGATGACCTATAGGAGACTTCGCGTCAGGTGCATCTAGGCTTAGTAAAGCTGAGTGAGGAGCTCATCTGCCACCGGTGCGACGATCCACAGGGGACGACGCGTTGGGAGATGGCAAAAGCTTTGTTATTGTTAGGAGGGAACGCAGCTACCGATGCGATGACCCATAGGGGACTTTGCGTCAGGTGCGTCTAAGCTCAGTAAAGTTGAGTGAGGAATTCATCTGCCACCGATGCGATGACCCACAGGGGACGACGTGTTGGGAGATGGATAAAACTTCGTAAAGCTTAAGAGGGAACGTAGCTACCAAGGCGATGACCCACATGGGACTTCGTGTCAGGTGCGTCTAAACTTAGTAAAGCTTAGTGAGGTGCTTAATCTGAGGCTGGCATCTCTGACTTTAAATGATTTGATAGCTGTCGCGTATTTTCAAGGCGACAGTTGGGCACGATGCCCATTCCCAAAAAAGGCTGTTGCGGCTACTTATTGTGGACGGCTGATGTTGATCAAGATGACGCGTTTCGCGTGAGAGTGAAGGTCATAGCTAGATCTTAGGCGTAGATCTAATCTGGAGTTTCGTTTCAATGGCCTGGATTGATGATGCGACGAACAGCCTAGATTGATTGCATTTAAATTCAACGGTGTAGATGAGCTGGGACACTCTATAAAAGGCGGACTTGAGCGCTTTTGGAGCTTTTCACTTTTGTGAAATCGAAATCCCCATACTCTCTCAAAATCTTTGCATTTTCCAGCGATCTTCAAGCAATTTTCGGCGAGAAATCCCAGTTTTCGGTGACTCACGTTGTTTCTTGACTGTTTTCGGCTGCGGGACATTCTATTTCAAAAGTTTTAGTAAGTATTTGAAATTTTTTCTTTCTGAAAATGGCTTCTGAGGATAGTGGTAGTTCGGGTAGGAGGTTAGAACTAGTGAGGATGGATGAGCCCATTTTGGCAACCTCCTCTGAGATAGTCGAGGCGATTATTGGGGGGGAGAACCTATGGAAGAGGCCAGATAGCCCAGCTGACACATCTGTGCATTGGGGGGTGTCGAATTACCCCTCTAAGCTAAAGGGTGCCGACCTGGAGAGATTTAGGGCTGAATATAGGATCCCAGATAGTGTAGATCTGATCCTACCAGAACCTGACGAGTGGGCCTGCTACCCTAGGCTGGGGTGCGTGGCCATTAGCGAGGCAATCCTTAGGGCTGGCCTTAGGCTCTCAATCCACCCTTTCTTCCGTATGGTATTTAGGTCATACGACTTAGCTCCTACCCAATTGAACCCGAAGTCCTGGAGCCAAATGGTGGGCTCCTGGATGTTGTGGAAGGAGGCGTCGCTTGGAGTGGAGATGCCTTTTTCTGTATTCTAGATCCTTTACATCCCCAAGGTAGCTATTGGGGAGGGGGGATAAGACCAGGGACTGGTACTACTTAACCTCATGGGGTTCCCACACTTCATTCGTGCTTGATCTGCCGAGCTCCATCAAGGAGTGGAAAAGCTCGTGGTGCTAGGCTGCCTGGAGATGGGACACGATGGAGGAGGACCCCCTGGCGCCTCTTACGGTCCCCACAAAGTATTCAACACTTAGTGAGTTCTGTGGCTTTATGTATCTTGTTTATTCTTCTTCGGTTCGGTTATTAACTGTTCTGTTTGTTTTTTGAAGGTTCTCTTCCTCAGTGTGAGGTTTCCACTGGCAACTTCGACATCATCTGCATTATTTATCAACTGCCTTCGAAGAAGAGGTCATACCACCAGTTGATAAGGAAAAACATTCACTTCGTGACGCACGATTTGATGGCCTCCCAAGGTAAATATCCCAAAGCGAATTCCTTCAGTACTTTTTGAACTCTTTATACGTATTAATTTGCCTGTCCCCTCGCAGATAACTTTAATAAGAAGCTGCCTCTAAGGCCAGACTTCAAGACCATCCAGAGGATGATGGCCGAGGTGAGAGCCTTGAAGACTTCCTTGTCTGCATACAAAAAGCAGATAGAGGATCTAGTGGAGGCCAGTAAGAGGCTCCAGCCTCCCACCGAGGAGAAGGTGGTGGAGGACCCAGATGCCAATCTGCTGCGAAAAGGGAAGAGGCCTGCCGCTGCCTCGCAGCTCCAAACTGTGGCGAGGTCGCCTCCGGCTTCGAGGTAGACCACAATTCCAACCGGGGTAGTCATCCCGAAGAAGAGGCCTGCGTCTTCAGAGGCTTCTCTTGCCCCGGCTACGTCGCCAATCGCCACTGTGCCCATTGCTCAGCGTCGGGGTAGCAAAAGAGGAAAAAGGCCTATCCTTCAAAAGAGGTGGATTTCTTGGGCATTAATTCCGAGGAGCCAGTGAAGGAAGTGATGGAGGCTCTTCCTCCAAAGACTGCAGCGGTGGTGGTGGTCCATAATAAGTATTGGACCGAGAAATGGAGAGACCATACTGCCTCCTGCACTGCCGAGGATCTGGTCGCGGCCAACAGTGCTTGTGTGGCCTGGGCCTTAAGCACAAGCATCCAATTCGAGGGCTTGGTAAAAGACCTCAACGCTAAGAGGGAGGACCTTGCCAAGCGCCTTGAGGAGGCGATGCACTATG